ATGAAGGAGAAGGGGATGGAATCTTGGAGAAGGGGATGGAATCTGGGAGAAGGGGATGGAATATGGGAGAAGGGGATGGAATCTGGGAGAAGCGGATCAAATCAGAGAGAAGGGGATGGAATCTAAGAGAAGGGGATGGAATGTGGTAGAAGGGGATGGAATCCGGGAGAAGGGGATGGAATCTGGGAGAAGGGGATGGAATTTGGGAGAAGGGGATGGAATCTGGGAGAAGGGGATGGAATCTGGAAGAAGGGGATGGAATCCGGGAGGAAGGGATGGAATCTGGGAGAAGGGGATGGAATATGGGAGAAGGGGATGGAATCTGGGAGAAAGGGATGGAATCTGGGAGAAGGGGATCGAATCAGGAGAAGGGGATGGAATCTGGAGAAGGGGATGGAATTGGGAGAAGGGGATGGATCGTGGAGAAGGGGATGGAATCTGAAGAAGGGGGATGGAATCTGGAGAAGGAGATGGATGATGATGGAGAAGGGGATGGAATCTGGGAGAAGGGGATGGAATCTGGGAGAAGGGGTGCTGGAATTTGGAGAAGGGATGGAATCGGGGAGAAGGGGATGGAATCTGGAAGAAGGGGGTTGAATCTGGGAGAAGGAGATGGAATGAGGGAGAAGGGGATGGAATCTGGAGGAGGGGATGGAATCTGGGAGAAGGGGATGGAATCTGGGAGAAGGGGATGGAATTTGAGAGAAGGGGATGGAATCTGGGAGAAGGGGATGGAATCTGGAAGAAGGGGGTGGAATCTGGGAGAAGGAGATGGAATAAGGGAGAAGGGGATGGAATCTTGGAGAAGGGGATGGAATCTGGGAGAAGGGGATGGAATCTGGGAGAAGGGGATGGAATCTGGGAGAAGCGGATCAAATCAGAGAGAAGGGGATGGAATCTGGGAGAAGGGGATTCAATCTGGGAGAAGGGGATGGAATCTGGGAGAAGGGGATGGAATCTGGGAGAAGGGGATGGAATCTGGGAGAAGGGGATGGAATTTGGGAGAAGGGGATGGAATCTGGGAGAAGGGGATGGAATCTAGAAGAAGGGGATGGAATCCGGGGGGAAGGGATGGAATCTGGGAGAAGGGGATGGAATATGGGAGAAGGGGATGGAATCTGGGAGAAGGGGATGGAATCTGGGAGAAGGGGATCGAATCAGAGAGAAGGGGTTGGAATCTGGGAGAAGGGGATGGAATCAGAGAGAAGGGGATGGAATCTGGGAGAAGGGGATGGAATTTGTGAGAAGGGGATGGAATCTGGGAGAAGGAGATGGAATCTGGAAGAAGGGGGTGGAATCTAGGAGAAGGAGATGGAATGAGGGAGAAGGGGATGGAATATGGGAGAAGGGGATGGAATCGGGGAGAAGGGGATGGAATCTGGGAGAAGGGGATGGAGTCTGGGAGGGCGGGATGGAATCTGGGAGAAGGGGATAGAATGAGGGAGAAGGGGATGGAATCTGGCAGAAGGGGATGGAATCTGGGAGAAGGGGATGGAATCTGGGAGAAGGGGATGGAATCTGGGAGAAGGGGATGGAATTTGGGAGAAGGGGATGGAATCAGGGAGAAGGGGATGGAATCTGGGAGAAGGGGATGGAATCTGGGAGAAGGGGATGGAATATGGGAGAAGGGGATGGAATCTGGGAGAAGGGGATAGAATCTGGGAGAAGGGGATGGAATCTGGGAGAAGGGGATGGAATCAGGGAGAAGGGGATGGAATCTGAGAGAAGGGGATGGAATCTTGGAGAAGGGGATGGAATCTGGGAGAAGGAAATGGAATCTGGGAGAAGGGGATGGAATCTAGGAGAAGAGGATGGAATCTGGGAGAAGGGGATGGAATCTGGAAGAAAGGGAAGGAATCCGGAAGGAAGGGATGGAATCTCGGAGAAGGGGATGGAATATGGGAGAAGGGGATGGAATCTGGGAGAAGGGGATGGAATCTGGGAGAAGGGGATCGAATCAGGGAGAAGGGGATGGAATCTGGGAGAAGGGGATGGAATTTGGGAGAAGGGGATGGAATCGTGGAGAAGGGGATGGAATCTGGAAGAAGGGGGTGGAATCTGGGAGAAGGAGATGGAATGAGGGAGAAGGGGATGGAATCTGGGAGAAGGGGATGGAATCTGGGAGAAGGGGATGGAATTTGGGAGAAGGGGATGGAATCGGGGGGAAGGGGATGGAATCTGGAAGAAGGGGGTTGAATCTGGGAGAAGGAGATGGAATGAGGGAGAAGGGGATGGAATCTGGGAGGAGGGGATGGAATCTGGGAGAAGGGGATGGAATCTGGGAGAAGGGGATGGAATTTGAGAGAAGGGGATGGAATCTGGGAGAAGGGGATGGAATCTGGAAGAAGGGGGTGGAATCTGGGAGAAGGAGATGGAATAAGGGAGAAGGGGATGGAATCTTGGAGAAGGGGATGGAATCTGGGAGAAGGGGATGGAATCTGGGAGAAGGGGATGGAATCTGGGAGAAGCGGATCAAATCAGAGAGAAGGGGATGGAATCTGGGAGAAGGGGATTCAATCTGGGAGAAGGGGATGGAATCTGGGAGAAGGGGATGGAATCTGGGAGAAGGGGATGGAATCTGGGAGAAGGGGATGGAATTTGGGAGAAGGGGATGGAATCTGGGAGAAGGGGATGGAATCTAGAAGAAGGGGATGGAATCCGGGGGGAAGGGATGGAATCTGGGAGAAGGGGATGGAATATGGGAGAAGGGGATGGAATCTGGGAGAAGGGGATGGAATCTGGGAGAAGGGGATCGAATCAGAGAGAAGGGGTTGGAATCTGGGAGAAGGGGATGGAATCAGAGAGAAGGGGATGGAATCTGGGAGAAGGGGATGGAATTTGTGAGAAGGGGATGGAATCTGGGAGAAGGAGATGGAATCTGGAAGAAGGGGGTGGAATCTGGGAGAAGGAGATGGAATGAGGGAGAAGGGGATGGAATATGGGAGAAGGGGATGGAATCGGGGAGAAGGGGATGGAATCTGGGAGAAGGGGATGGAGTCTGGGAGGGCGGGATGGAATCTGGGAGAAGGGGATAGAATGAGGGAGAAGGGGATGGAATCTGGCAGAAGGGGATGGAATCTGGGAGAAGGGGATGGAATCTGGGAGAAGGGGATGGAATCTGGGAGAAGGGGATGGAATTTGGGAGAAGGGGATGGAATCAGGGAGAAGGGGATGGAATCTGGGAGAAGGGGATGGAATCTGGGAGAAGGGGATGGAATATGGGAGAAGGGGATGGAATCTGGGAGAAGGGGATAGAATCTGGGAGAAGGGGATGGAATCTGGGAGAAGGGGATGGAATCAGGGAGAAGGGGATGGAATCTGAGAGAAGGGGATGGAATCTTGGAGAAGGGGATGGAATCTGGGAGAAGGAAATGGAATCTGGGAGAAGGGGATGGAATCTAGGAGAAGAGGATGGAATCTGGGAGAAGGGGATGGAATCTGGAAGAAAGGGAAGGAATCCGGAAGGAAGGGATGGAATCTCGGAGAAGGGGATGGAATATGGGAGAAGGGGATGGAATCTGGGAGAAGGGGATGGAATCTGGGAGAAGGGGATCGAATCAGGGAGAAGGGGATGGAATCTGGGAGAAGGGGATGGAATTTGGGAGAAGGGGATGGAATCGGGGAGAAGGGGATGGAATCTGGAAGAAGGGGGTGGAATCTGGGAGAAGGAGATGGAATGAGGGAGAAGGGGATGGAATCTGGGAAAAGGGGATGGAATCTGGGAGAAGGGGATGGAATTTGGGAGAAGGGGATGGAATCGGGGAGAAGGGGATGGAATCGGGAAGAAGGAGGTGGAATCTGGGAGAAGGAGATGGAATGAGGGAGAAGGGGATGGAATCTGGTAGGAGGGGATGGAATCTGGGAGAAGGGGATGGAATCTGGGAGAAGGGGATGGAATTTGAGAGAAGGGGATGGAATCTGGGAGAAGGGGATGGAATCTGGAAGAAGGGGGTGGAATCTGGGAGAAGGAGATGGAATAAGGGAGAAGGGGATGGAATCTTGGAGAAGGGGATGGAATCTGGGAGAAGGGGATGGAATCTGGGAGAAGGGGATGGAATCTGGGAGAAGCGGATCAAATCAGAGAGAAGGGGATGGAATGTGGGAGAAGGGGATGGAATCTGGGAGAAGGGGATGGGATCTGGGAGAAGGGGATAGAATCTGGGAGAAGGGGATGGAATCTGGGAGAAGGGGATGGAATTTGGGAGAAGGGGATGGAATCTCGAAGAAGGGGATGGAATCCGGGGGGAAGGGATGGAATCTGGGAGAAGGGGATGGAATATGGGAAAAGAGGATGGAATCTGGGAGAAAGGGATGGAATCTGGGAGAAGGGGATCGAATCAGGGAGAAGGGGTTGGAATCTGGGAGAAGGGGATGGAATCTGAGAGAAGGGGATGGAATCTGGGAGAAGGGGATGGAATTTGTGAGAAGGGGATGGAATCTGGGAGAAGGAGATGGAATCCGGAAGAAGGGGGTGGAATCAGGGAGAAGGAGATGGAATGAGGGAGAAGGGGATGGAATCTGGGAGGAGGGGATGGAATCGGGGAGAAGGGGATGGAATCTGGGAGAAGGGGATGGAGTCTGGGAGGGCGGGATGGAATCTGGGAGAAGGGGATAGAATGAGGGAGAAGGGGATGGAATCTGGCAGAAGGGGATGGAATCTGGGAGAAGGGGATGGAATCTGGGAGAAGGGGATGGAATCTGGGAGAAGGGGATGGAATTTGGGAGAAGGGGATGGAATCAGGGAGAAGGGGATGGAATCAGGGAGAAGGGGATGGAATCTGGGAGAAGGGGATGGAATATGGGAAAAGGGGATGGAATCTGGGAGAAGGGGATAGAATCTGGGAGAAGGGGATGGAATCTGGGAGAAGGGGATGGAATCAGGGAGAAGGGGATGGAATCAGAGAGAAGGGGATGGAATCTGGGAGAAGGGGATGGAATCTGGGAGAAGGGGATGGAATCTGGAAGAAGGGGATGGAATCTAGGAGAAGGGGATGGAATCTGGGAGAAGGGGATGGAATCTGGAAGAAGGGGATGGAATCCGGGAGGAAGGGATGGAATCTGGGAGAAGGGGATGGAATATGGGAGAAGGGGATGGAATCTGGGAGAAGGGGATGGAATCTGGGAGAAGGGGATCGAATCAGGGAGAAGGGGATGGAATCTGGGAGAAGGGGATGGAATTTGGGAGAAGGGGATGGAATCGGGGAGAAGGGGATGGAATCTGGAAGAAGGGGTAGGAATCTGGGAGAAGGAGATGGAATGAGGGAGAAGGGGATGGAATCTGGGAGAAGGGGATGGAATCGGGGAGAAGGGGATGGAATCTGGAAGAAGGGGGTGGAATCTGGGAGAAGGAGATGGAAGGAGGGAGAAGGGGATGGAATCTGGGAGGAGGGGATGGAATCTGGGAGAAGGGGATGGAATCTGGGAGAAGGGGATGGAATTTGAGAGAAGGGGATGGAATCTCGGAGAAGGGGATGGAATCTGGAAGAAGGGGGTGGAATCTGGGAGAAGGAGATGGAATAAGGGAGAAGGGGATGGAATCTTGGCGAAGGGGATGGAATCTGGGAGAAGGGGATGGAATCTGGGAGAAGGGGATGGAATCTGGGAGAAGCGGATCAAATCAGAGAGAAGGGGATGGAATCTGGGAGAAGGGGATGGAATCTGGGAGAAGGGGATGGAATCTGGGAGAAGGGGATGGAATCTGGGAGAAGGGGATGGAATCTGGGAGAAGGGGATGGAATTTGGGAGAAGGGGATGGAATCTGGGAGAAGGGGATGGAATCTGGAAGAAGGGGATGGAATCCGGGGGGAAGGGATGGAATCTGGGAGAAGGGGTTGGAATATGGGAGAAGGGGATGGAATCTGGGAGAAGGGGATGGAATCTGGGAGAAGGGGATCGAATCAGGGAGTAGGGGTTGGAATCTGGGAGAAGGGGATGGAATCTGAGAGAAGGGGATGGAATCTGGGAGAAGGGGATGGAATTTGTGAGAAGGGGATGGAATCTGGGAGAAGGAGATGGAATCTGGAAGAAGGGGGTGGAATCTGGGAGAAGGAGATGGAATGAGGGAGAAGGGGATGGAATCTGGGAGGAGGGGATGGAATCGGGGAGAAGGGGATGGAATCTGGGAGAAGGGGATGGAGTCTGGGAGGGCGGGATGGAATCTGGGAGAAGGGGATAGAATGAGGGAGAAGGGGATGGAATCTGGTAGAAGGGGATGGAATCTGGGAGAAGGGGATGGAATCTGGGAGAAGGGGATGGAATCTGGGAGAAGGGGATGGAATTTGAGAGAAGGGGATGGAATCAGGGAGAAGGGGATGGAATCAGGGAGAAGGGGATGGAATCTGGGAGAAGGGGATGGAATATGGGAAAAGGGGATGGAATCTGGGAGAAGGGGATAGAATCTGGGAGAAGGGGATGGAATCTGGGAGAAGGGGATGGAATCAGGGAGAAGGGGATGGAATCTGAGAGAAGGGGATGGAATCTGGGAGAAGGGGATGGAATCTGGGAGAAGGGGATGGAATCTGGAAGAAGGGGATGTAATCTAGGAGAAGGGGATGGAATCTGGGAGAAGGGGATGGAATCTGGAAGAAGGGGTTGGAATCCGGGAGGAAGGGATGGAATCTGGGAGAAGGGGATGGAATATGGGAGAAGGGGATGGAATCTGGGAGAAGGGGATGGAATCTGGGAGAAGGGGATCGAATCAGGGAGAAGGGGATGGAATCTGGGAGAAGGGGATGGAATTTGGGAGAAGGGGATGGAATCGGGGAGAAGGGGATGGAATCTGGAAGAAGGGGTAGGAATCTGGGAGAAGGAGATGGAATGAGGGAGAAGGGGATGGAATCTGGGAGAAGGGGATGGAATCGGGGAGAAGGGGATGGAATCTGGAAGAAGGGGGTGGAATCTGGGAGAAGGAGATGGAAGGAGGGAGAAGGGGATGGAATCTGGGAGGAGGGGATGGAATCTGGGAGAAGGGGATGGAATCTGGGAGAAGGGGATGGAATTTGAGAGAAGGGGATGGAATCTCGGAGAAGGGGATGGAATCTGGAAGAAGGGGGTGGAATCTGGGAGAAGGAGATGGAATAAGGGAGAAGGGGATGGAATCTTGGCGAAGGGGATGGAATCTGGGAGAAGGGGATGGAATCTGGGAGAAGGGGATGGAATCTGGGAGAAGCGGATCAAATCAGAGAGAAGGGGATGGAATCTGGGAGAAGGGGATGGAATTTGGGAGAAGGGGATGGAATCTGGGAGAAGGGGATGGAATCTGGGAGAAGGGGATGGAATCTGGGAGAAGGGGATGGAATTTGGGAGAAGGGGATGGAATCTGGGAGAAGGGGATGGAATCTGGAAGAAGGTGATGGAATCCGGGGGGAAGGGATGGAATCTAGGAGAAGGGGATGGAATATGGGAGAAGGGGATGGAATCTGGGAGAAGGGGATGGAATCTGGGAGAAGGGGATCGAATCAGGGAGTAGGGGTTGGAATCTGGGAGAAGGGGATGGAATCTGAGAGAAGGGGATGGAATCTGGGAGAAGGGGATGGAATTTGTGAGAAGGGGATGGAATCTGGGAGAAGGAGATGGAATCTGGAAGAAGGGGGTGGAATCTGGGAGAAGGAGATGGAATGAGGGAGAAGGGGATGGAATCTGGGAGAAGGGGATGGAATCGGGGAGAAGGGGATGGAATCTGGGAGAAGGGGATGGAGTCTGGGAGGGCGGGATGGAATCTGGGAGAAGGGGATAGAATGAGGGAGAAGGGGATGGAATCTGGCAGAAGGGGATGGAATCTGGGAGAAGGGGATGGAATCTGGGAGAAGGGGATGGAATCTGGGAGAAGGGGATGGAATTTGGGAGAAGGGGATGGAATCAGGGAGAAGGGGATGGAATCTGGAAGAAGGGGATGGAATCTGGGAGAAGGGGATGGAATATGGGAGAAGGGGATGGAATCTGGGAGAAGGGGATAGAATCTGGGAGAAGGGGATGGAATCTGGGAGAAGGGGATGGAATCAGGGAGAAGGGGATGGAATCTGAGGAAAGGGGATGGAATCTGGGAGAAGGGGATGGAATCTGGGAGAAGGGGATGGAATCTGGGAGAAGGGGATGGAATTTAGGAGAAGGGGATGGAATCTGTGAGAAGGGGATGGAATCAGGGAGAAGGGGATGGAATCTGGGAGAAGGGGATGGAATCTGGGAGAAGGGGATTAAGTCTGGGAGGGCGCGATGGAATCTGGGAGAAGGGGATGGAATCTGGGAGAAGGGGATGGAATGAGGGAAAAGGGGATGGAATCGGGGAGAATGGGATGGAATCTGGGCGAAGGGGATGGAATTTGTGAGAAGGGGATGGAATCTGGGAGAAGGAGATGGAATCTGGAAGAAAGGGGTGGAATCTGGGAGAAGGAGATGGAATGAGGGAGAAGGGGATGGAATCTGGGAGAAGGGGATGGAATATGGGAGAAGGGGATGGAATCTGGGAGAAGGGGATGGAGTCTGGGAGGGCGGGATGGAATCTGGGAGAAGGGGATAGAATGAGGGAGAAGGGGATGGAATCTGGGAGAAGGGGATGGAATCTGGGAGAAGGGGATGGAATTTGGGAGAAGGGGATGGAATCGGGGAGAAGGGGATGGAATCTGGGAGAAGGGGATGGAGTCTGGGAGGGCGGGATAGAATCTGGGAGAAGGGGATATAATGAGAGAGAAGGGGATGGAATCTGGCAGAAGGGGATGGAATCTAGGAGAAGGGGATGGAATCTGGGCGAGAGGGGATGGAATCTGGGAGAAGGGGATGGAATCTGGGAGAAGGGGATGGAATCAGGGAGAAGGGGATGGAATATGGAAGAAGGGGATGGAATCAGGGAGAAGGGGATGGAATCTGGGAGAAGGGGATGGAATCTGGGAGAAGGGGATGGAACCTGGGAGAAGGGGATGGAATCTGTGAGAAGGGGATGGAATCTGGGAGAAGGGGATGGAATCTGGGAGAAGGGGATGGAATCTGGGAGAAGGGGATGGAGTTTGGGAGGGCGGGATGGAATCTGGGAGAAGGGGATGGAATCTGAGAGAAGGGGATGGAATGAGGGAGAAGGGAATGGAATCGGGGAGAAGGGGATGGAATCTAGGAGAAGTGGATGGAATCTGGGAGAAGGGGATGGATTCTAGGAGAAGGGGATGGAATCTGGAAGAAGGGGATGAAATCAGGGAGAAGGGGATGGAATCTGGGAGAAGGGGATGGAATTTGGGAGACGGGGATGGAATCGGGGAGAAGGGGATGGAATCTGGGAGAAGGGGATGGAATCTGGGAGAAGGGGATGGAATTTGGGAGAAGGGGATGGATTCAGGGAGAAGGGGATGGAATCTGGAAGAAGGGGATGGAATCAGGGAGAAGGGGATGGAATCTGGGAGAAGGGGATGGAATTTGGGAGAAGGGGATGGAATCGGGGAGAAGGGGATGGAATCTGGAAGAAGGGGGTGGAATCTGGGAGAAGAAGGTGGAATGAGGGAGAAGGGGATGGAATCAGGGAGGAGGGGATGAAATTTGGGAGAAGGGGATGGAATCTGGGAGAAGGGGATGGAATTTGAGAGAAGGGGATGGAATCTGGGAGAAGGGGATGGAATCTGGAAGAAGGGGGTGGAATCTGGGAGAAGGAGGTGGAATGAAGGAGAAGGGGATGGAATCTTGGAGAAGAGGATGGAATCTAGGAGAAGGGGATGGAATATGGGAGAAGGGGATGGAATCTGGGAGAAGCGGATCAAATCAGAGAGAAGGGGATGGAATCTGGGAGAAGGGGATGGAATGTGGGAGAAGGGGATGGAATCAGGGAGAAGGGGATGGAATCTGGGAGAAGGGGATGGAATTTGGGAGAAGGGGATGGAATCTGGGAGAAGGGGATGGAATCTGGAAGAAGGGGATGGAATCCGGGAGGAAGGGATGGAATCTGGGAGAAGGGGATAGAATATGGGAGAAGGGGATGGAATCTGGGAGAAGGGGATGGAATCTGGGAGAAGGGGATCGAATCAGGGAGAAGGGGATGGAATCTGGGAGAAGGGGATGGAATTTGGGAGAAGGGGATAGAATCGTGGAGAAGGGGATGGAATCTGGAAGAAGGGGGTGGAATCTGGGAGAAGGAGATGGAATGAGGGAGAAGGGGATGGAATCTGGGAGAAGGGGATGGAATCTGGGAGAAGGGGATGGAATTTGGGAGAAGGGGATGGAATCGGGGAGAAGGGGATGGAATCTGGAAGAAGGGGGTGGAATCTGGGAGAAGGAGATGGAATGAGGGAGAAGGGGATGGAATCTGGGAGGAGGGGATGGAATCTGGGAGAAGGGGATGGAATTTGAGAGAAGGGGATGGAATCTGGGAGAAGGGGATGGAATCTGGAAGAAGGGGGTGGAATCTGGGAGAAGGAGATGGAATAAGGGAGAAGGGGATGGAATCTTGGAGAAGGGGATGGAATCTGGGAGAAGGGGATGGAATATGGGAGAAGGGGATGGAATCTGGGAGAAGCGGATCAAATCAGAGAGAAGGGGATGGAATCTGGGAGAAGGGGATGGAATCTGGGAGAAGGGGATGGAATCTGGGAGAAGGGGATTGAATCTGGGAGAAGGGGATGGAATCTGGGAGAAGGGGATGGAATTTGGGAGAAGGGGATGGAATCTGGGAGAAGGGGATGGAATCTAGAAGAAGGGGATGGAATCCGGGGGGAAAAGATGGAATCTGGGAGAAGGGGATGGAATATGGGAGAAGGGGATGGAATCTGGGAGAAGGGGATGGAATCTGGGAGAAGGGGATCGAATCAGAGAGAAGGGGTTGGAATCTGGGAGAAGGGGATGGAATCTGAGAGAAGGGGATGGAATCTGGGAGAAGGGGATGGAATTTGTGAGAAGGGGATGGAATCTGGGAGAAGGAGATGGAATCTGGAAGAAGGGGGTGGAATCTGGGAGAAGGAGATGGAATGAGGGAGAAGGGGATGGAATATGGGAGAAGGGGATGGAATCGGGGAGAAGGGGATGGAATCTGGGAGAAGGGGATGGAGTCTGGGAGGGCGGGATGGAATCTGGGAGAAGGGGATAGAATGAGGGAGAAGGGGATGGAATCTGGCAGAAGGGGATGGAATCTGGGAGAAGGGGATGGAATCTGGGAGAAGGGGATGGAATCTGGGAGAAGGGGATGGAATTTGGGAGAAGGGGATGGAATCAGGGAGAAGGGGATGGAATCAGGGAGAAGGGGATGGAATCTGGGAGAAGGGGATGGAATATGGGAGAAGGGGATGGAATATGGGAGAAGGGGATAGAATCTCGTAGAAGGGGATGGAATCTGGGAGAAGGGGATGGAATCAGGGAGAAGGGGATGGAATCTGGGAGAAGGGGATGGAATCAGGGAGAAGGGGATGGAATCTGGGAGAAGGGGATGGAATCTAGGAGAAGGGGATGGAATCTGGGAGAAGGGGATGGAATCTGGAAGAAGGGGATGGAATCCGGGAGGAAGGGATGGAATCTGGGAGAAGGGGATGGAATATGGGAGAAGGGGATGGAATCTGGGAGAAGGGGATGGAATCTGGGAGAAGGGGATCGAATCAGGGAGAAGGGGATGGAATCTGGGAGATGGGGATGGAATTTGGGAGAAGGGGATGGAATCGGGGAGAAGGGGATGGAATCTGGAAGAAGGGGGTGGAATCTGGGAGAAGGAGATGGAATGAGGGAGAAGGGGATGGAATCTGGGAGAAGGGGATGGAATCTGGGAGAAGGGGATGGAATTTAAGAGAAGGGGATGGAATCGGGGAGAAGGGGATGGAATCTGGAAGAAGGAGGTGGAATCTGGGAGAAGGAGATGGAATGAGGGAGAAGGGGATGGAATCTGGGAGGAGGGGATGGAATCTGGGAGAAGGGGATTGAATCTGGGAGAAGGGGATGGAATTTGAGAGAAGGGGATGGAATCTGGGAGAAGGGGATGGAATCTGGAAGAAGGGGGTGGAATCTGGGAGAAGGAGATGGAATAAGGGAGAAGGGGATGGAATCTTGGAGAAGGGGATGGAATCTGGGAGAAGGGGATGGAATCTGGGAGAAGGGGATGGAATCTGGGAGAAGCGGATCCAATCAGAGAGAAGGGGATGGAATCTTGGAGAAGGGGATGGAATCTGGGAGAAGGGGATGGAATCTGGGAGAAGGGGATGGAATCCGGGAGAAGGGGATGGAATCTGGGAGAAGGTGATGGAATCTGGAAGAAGGGGATGGAATTTGGGAGAAGGGGATGGAATCTGGGAGAAGGGGATGGAATCTGGAAGAAGGGGGTGGAATCTGGGAGAAGGAGATGGAATAAGGGAGAAGGGGATGGAATCTGGGAGAAGGGGATGGAATCTGGGAGAAGGGGATGGAATCTGGGAGAAGGGGATGGAATCTGGGAGAAGGGGATGGAATCTGGGAGAAGGGGATGGAATCTGGGAGAAGGGGATGGAATCTGGGAGAAGGGGATGGAATCTGGGAGAAGGGGATGGAATTTGAGAAAAGGGGATGGAATCTAGGAGAAGGGGATGGAATCTGGAAGAAGGGGGTGGAATCTGGGAGAAGGAGATGGAATAAGGGAGAAGGGGATGGAATCTTAAAGAAGGGGATGGAATCTGGGAGAAGGGGATGGAATCTGGGAGAAGGGCCATGGAATCTGGGAGAAGCGGATCAAATCAGAGAGAAGGGGATGGAATCTGGGAGAAGGGGATGGAATCTGGGAGAAGGGGATGGAATCTGGGAGAAGGGGATAGAATCTGGGAGAAGGGGATGGAATATGGGAGAAGGGGATGGAATTTGGGAGAAGGGGATGGAATCTGGGAGAAGGGGATGGAATCTGGAAGAAGGGGATGGAATCCGGGGGGAAGGGATGGAATCTGGGAGAAGGGGATGGAATATGGGAGAAGGGGATGGAATCTGGGAGAAGGGGATGGAATATGGGAGAAGGGGATCGAATCAGGGAGAAGGGGTTGGAATCTGGGAGAAGGGGATGGAATCTGAGAGAAGGGGATGGAATCTGGGAGAAGGGGATGGAATTTGTGAGAAGGGGATGGAATCTGGGAGAAGGAGATGGAATCTGGAAGAAGGGGGTGGAATCTGGGAGAAGGAGATGGAATGAGGGAGAAGGGGATGGAATCTGGGAGGAGGGGATGGAATCGGGGAGAAGGGGATGGAATTTGGGAGAAGGGGATGGAGTCTGGGAGGGCGGGATGGAATCTGGGAGAAGGGGATGGAATGAGGGAGAAGGGGATGGAATCTGGCAGAAGGGGATGGAATCTGGGAGAAGGGGATGGAATCTGGGAGAAGGGGATGGAATCTGGGAGAAGGGGATGGAATTTGGGAGAAGGGGATGGAATCAGGGAGAAGGGGATGGAATCTGGGAGAAGGGGATGGAATCTGGGAGAAGGGGATGGAATATGGGAGAAGGGGATGGAATCTGGGAGAAGGGGATAGAATCTGGGAGAAGGGGATGGAATCTGGGAGAAGGGGATGGAATCTGGGAGAAGGGGATGGAATCTGAGAGAAGGGGATGGAATCTGGGAGAAGGGGATGGAATCTCGGAGAAGGGGATGGAATCTGGAAGAAGGGGATGGAATCTAGGAGAAGGGGATGGAATCTGGGAGAAGGGGATGGAATCTGGAAGAAGGGGATGGAATCCGGGAGGAAGGGATGGAATCTAGGAGAAGGGGATGGAATATGGGAGAAGGGGATGGAATCTGGGAGAAGGGGATGGAATCTGAGAGAAGGGGATCGAATCAGGAAGAAGGGGATGGAATCTGGGAGAAGGGGATGGAATTTGGGAGAAGGGGATGGAATCGGGGAGAAGGGGATGGAATCTGGAAGAAGGGGGTGGAATCTGGGAGAAGGAGATGGAATGAGAGAGAAGGGGATGGAATCTGGGGGAAGGGGATGGAATCTGGGAGAAGGGGATGGAATTTGGGAGAAGGGGATGGAATCGGGGAGAAGGGGATGGAATCTGGAAGAAGGAGATGGAAGGAGGGAGAAGGGGATGGAATCTGGGGGAAGGGGGTGGAATCTGGGAGAAGGAGATGGAAGGAGGGAGAAGGGGATGGAATTTGGGAGGAGGGGATGGAATCTGGGAGAAGGGGATGGAATCTGGGAGAAGGGGATGGAATTTGAGAGAAGGGGATGGAATCTGGAAGAAGGGGGTGGAATCTGGGAGAACGAGATGGAATAAGGGAGAAGGGGATGGAATCTTGGCAAAGGGGATGGAATCTGGGAGAAGGGGATGGAATCTGGGAGAAGGGGATGGAATCTGGGAGAAGCGGATCAAATAAGAGCGAAGGGGATGGAATCTGGGAGAAGGGGATGGAATCTGGGAGAAGAGGATGGAATCTGGGAGAAGGGGATGGAATCTGGGAGAAGAGGATGGAATCTGGGAGAAGGGGATGGAATTTGGGAGAAGGGGATGGAATCTGGGAGAAGGGGATGGAATCTGGAAGAAGGGGATTGAATCCGGGGGGAAGGGATGGAATCTGGGAGAAGGGGATGGAATATGGGAGAAGGGGATGGAATATGGGAGAAGGGGATGGAATCTGGGAGAAGGGGATGGAATCAGGGAGAAGGGGATCGAATCAGGGAGTAGGGGTTGGAATCTGGGAGAAGGGGATGGAATCAGGGAGAAGGGGATGGAATCTGGGAGAAGGGGATGGAATTTGGGAGAAGGGGATGGAATCGGGGAGAAGGGGATGGAATCTGGAAGAAGGGGGTGGAATCTGGGAGAAGGAGATGGAATGAGGGAGAAGGGGATGGAATCTGGGAGAAGGGGATGGAATCTGGGAGAAGGGGATGGAATTTGGGAGAAGGGGATGGAATCGGGGAGAAGGGGATGGAATCTGGAAGAAGGGGGTGGAATCTGGGAGAAGGAGATGGAAGGAGGGAGAAGGGGATGGAATATGGGAGGAGGGGATGGAATCTGGGAGAAGGGGATGGAATCTGGGAGAAGGGGATGGAATTTGAGAGAAGGGGATGGAATCTGGAAGAAGGGGGTGGAATCTGGGAGAACGAGATGGAATAAGGGAGAAGGGGATGGAATCTTGGCAAAGGGGATGGAATCTGGGAGAAGGGGATGGAATCTGGGAGAAGGGGATGGAATCTGGGAGAAGCGGATCAAATAAGAGAGAAGGGGATGGAATCTGGGAGAAGGGGATGGAATCTGGGAGAAGAGGATGGAATCTGGGAGAAGGGGATGGAATCTGGGAGAAGGGGATGGAATCTGGGAGAAGGGGATGGAATTTGGGAGAAGGGGATGGAATCTGGGAGAAGGGGATGGAATCTGGAAGAAGGGGATGGAATCCGGGGGGAAGGGATGGAATCTGGGAGAAGGGGATGGAATATGGGAGAAGGGGATGGAATCTGGGAGAAGGGGATGGAATCAGGGAGAAGGGGATCGAATCAGGGAGTAGGGGTTGGAATCTGGGAGAAGGGGATGGAATCTGAGAGAAGGGGATGGAATCTGGGAGAAGGGGATGGAATTTGTGAGAAGGGGATGGAATCTGGGAGAAGGAGATGGAATCTGGAAGAAGGAGGTGGAATCTGAGAGAAGGAGATGGAATGAGGGAGAAGGGGATGGAATCTGGGAGAAGGGGATGGAATCGGGGAGAAGTGGATGGAATCTGGGAGAAGGGGATGGAGTCAGGGAGGGCGGGATGGAATCTGGGAGAAGGGGATAGAATGAGGGAGAAGGGGATGGAATCTGGCAGAAGGGGATGGAATCTGGGAGAAGGGGATGGAATCTGAGAGAAGGGGATGGAATCTGGGAGAAGGGGATGGAATTTGGGAGAAGGGGATGGAATCAGGGAGAAGGGGATGGAATCTGGGAGAAGGGGATGGAATCTGGGAGAAGGGGATGGAATATGGGAGAAGGGGATGGAATCTGGGAGAAGGGGATAGAATCTGGGAGAAGGGGATGGAATCTGGGAGAAGGGGATGGAATCAGGGAGAAGGGGATGGAATCTGAGAGAAGGGGATGGAATCTGGGAGAAGGGGATGGAATCTGGGAGAAGGGGATGGAATCTGGAAGAAGGGGATGGAATCTAGGAGAAGGGGATGGAATCTGGGAGAAGGGGATGGAATCTGGAAGAAGGGGATGGAATCTGGGAGGAAGGGATGGAATCTAGGAGAAGGGGATGGAATATGGGAGAAGGGGATGGAATCTGGGAGAAGGGGATGGAATCTGGGAGAAGGGGATCGAATCAGGGAGAAGGGGATGGAATCTGGGAGAAGGGGATGGAATTTGGGAGAAGGGGATGGAATCGGGGAGAAGGGGATGGAATCTGGAAGAAGGGGGTGGAATCTGGGAGAAGGAGATGGAATGAGGGAGAAGGGGATGGAATCTGGGAGAAGGGGATGGAATCTGGGAGAAGGGGATGGAATTTGGGAGAAGGGGATGGAATCGGGGAGAAGGGGATGGAATCTGGAAGAAGGGGGTGGAATCTGGGAGAAGGAGATGGAAGGAGGGAGAAGGGGATGGAATCTGGGAGGAGGGGATGGAATCTGGGAGAAGGGGATGGAATCTGGGAGAAGGGGATGGAATTTGAGAGAAGGGATGGAATCTGGAAGAAGGGGGTGGAATCTGGGAGAACGAGATGGAATAAGGGAGAAGGGGATGGAATCTTGGCAAAGGGGATGGAATCTGGGAGAAGGGGATGGAATCTGGGAGAAGGGGATGGAATCTGGGAGAAGCGGATCAAATAAGAGAGAAGGGGATGGAATCTGGGAGAAGGGGATGGAATCTGGGAGAAGAGGATGGAATCTGGGAGAAGGGGATGGAATCTGGGAGAAGGGGATGGAATCTGGGAGAAGGGGATGGAATTTGGGAGAAGGGGATGGAATCTGGGAGAAGGGGATGGAATCTGGAAGAAGGGGATGGAATCCGGGGGGAAGGGATGGAATCTGGGAGAAGGGGATGGAATATGGGAGAAGGGGATGGAATCTGGGAGAAGGGGATGGAATCAGGGAGAAGGGGATCGAATCAGGGAGTAGGGGTTGGAATCTGGGAGAAGGGGATGGAATCAGGGAGAAGGGGATGGAATCTGGGAGAAGGGGATGGAATCGGGGAGAAGGGGATGGAATCTGGAAGAAGGGGGTGGAATCTGGGAGAAGGAGATGGAATGAGGGAGAAGGGGATGGAATCTGGGAGAAGGGGATGGAATCTGGGAGAAGGGGATGGAATCTGGGAGAAGCGGATCAAATAAGAGAGAAGGGGATGGAATCTGGGAGAAGGGGATGGAATCTGGGAGAAGAGGATGGAATCTGGGAGAAGGGGATGGAATCTGGGAGAAGGGGATGGAATCTGGGAGAAGGGGATGGAATTTGGGAGAAGGGGATGGAATCTGGGAGAAGGGGATGGAATCTGGAAGAAGGGGATGGAATCCGGGGGGAAGGGATGGAATCTGGGAGAAGGGGATGGAATATGGGAGAAGGGGATGGAATCTGGGAGAAGGGGATGGAATCAGGGAGAAGGGGATCGAATCAGGGAGTAGGGGTTGGAATCTGGGAGAAGGGGATGGAATCAGGGAGAAGGGGATGGAATCTGGGAGAAGGGGATGGAATCGGGGAGAAGGGGATGGAATCTGGAAGAAGGGGGTGGAATCTGGGAGAAGGAGATGGAATGAGGGAGAAGGGGATGGAATCTGGGAGAAGGGGATGGAATCTGGGAGAAGGGGATGGAATTTGGGAGAAGGGGATGGAATCGGGGAGAAGGGGATGGAATCTGGAAGAAGGGGGTGGAATCTGGGAGAAGGAGATGGAAGGAGGGAGAAGGGGATGGAATCTGGGAGGAGGGGATGGAATCTGGGAGAAGGGGATGGAATCTGGGAGAAGGGGATGGAATTTGAGAGAAGGGGATGGAATCTGGAAGAAGGGGGTGGAATCTGGGAGAACGAGATGGAATAAGGGAGAAGGGGATGGAATCTTGGCAAAGGGGATGGAATCTGGGAGAAGGGGATGGAATCTGGGAGAAGGGGATGGAATCTGGGAGAAGCGGATCAAATAAGAGAGAAGGGGATGGAATCTGGGAGAAGGGGATGGAATCTGGGAGAAGAGGATGGAATCTGGGAGAAGGGGATGGAATCTGGGAGAAGGGGATGGAATCTGGGAGAAGGGGATGGAATTTGGGAGAAGGGGATGGAATCTGGGAGAAGGGGATGGAATCTGGAAGAAGGGGATGGAATCCGGGGGGAAGGGATGGAATCTGGGAGAAGGGGATGGAATATGGGAGAAGGGGATGGAATCTGGAAGAAGGGGATGGAATCAGGGAGAAGGGGATCGAATCAGGGAGTAGGGGTTGGAATCTGGGAGAAGGGGATGGAATCTGAGAGAAGGGGATGGAATCTGGGAGAAGGGGATGGAATTTGTGAGAAGGGGATGGAATCTGGGAGAAGGAGATGGAATCTGGAAGAAGGGGGTGGAATCTGGGAGAAGGAGATGGAATGAGGGAGAAGGGGATGGAATCTTGGAGAAGGGGATGGAATCGGGGAGAAGGGGATGGAATCTGGGAGAAGGGGATGGAGTCGGGGAGGGCGGGATGGAATCTGGGAGAAGGGGATAGAATGAGGGAGAAGGGGATGGAATCTGGCAGAAGGGGATGGAATCTGGGAGAAGGGGATGGAATCTAGGAGAAGGGGATGGAATCTGGGAGAAGGGGATGGAATTTGGGAGAAGTGGATGGAATCAGGGAGAAGGGGATGGAATCTGGGAGAAGGGGATGGAATCTGGGAGAAGGGGATGGAATATGGGAGAAGGGGATGGAATCTGGGAGAAGGGGATAGAATCTGGGAGAAGGGGATGGAATCTGGGAGAAGGGGATGGAATCAGGGAGAAGGGGATGGAATCTGAGAGAAGGGGATGGAATCTGGGAGAAGGGGATGGAATCTGGGAGAAGGGGATGGAATCTGGGAGAAGGGGATGGAATCTAGGAGAAGGGGATGGAATCTGTGAGAAGGGGATGGAATCAGGGAGAAGGGGATGGAATCTGGGAGAAGGGGATGGAATCTGGGAGAAGGGGATTAAGTCTGGGAGGGCGCGATGGAATCTGGGAGAAGGGGATGGAATCTGGGAGAAGGGGATGGAATGAGGGAGAAGGGGATGGAATCGGGGAGAAGGGGATGGAATCTGGGCGAAGGGGATGGAATTTGTGAGAAGGGGATGGAATCTGGGAGAAGGAGATGGAATCTGGAAGAAGGGGGTGGAATCTGGGAGAAGGAGATGGAATGAGGGAGAAGGGGATGGAATCTGGGAGAAGGGGATGGAATCTGGGAGAAGGGGATGGAATCTGGGAGAAGGGGATGGAGTCTGGGAGGGCGGGATGGAATCTGGGAGAAGGAGATAGAATGAGGGAGAAGGGGATGGAATATGGCAGAAGGGGATGGAATCTGGGAGAAGGGGATGGAATTTGGGAGAAGGGGATGGAATCTGGGAGAAGGGGATGGAATTTGGGAGAAGGGGATGGAGTCACGAAGAAGGGGATGGAATATGGGAGAAGGGGATGGAATCTGGGAGAAGGGGATGGAATATGGGAGAAGGGGATGGAATCTGGGAGAAGGGGATAGAATCTGGGAGAAGGGGATGGAATCTGGGAGAAGGGGATGGAATCAGGGAGAAGGGGATGGAATCTGAGAGAAGCGGATGGAATCTGGGAGAAGGGGATGGAATCTGGGAGAAGGGGATGGAATCTGGGAGAAGGGGATGGAATCTAGGAGAAGGGGATGGAATCTGTGAGAAGGGGATGGAATCTGGGAGAAGGGGATGGAATCTGGGAGAAGGGGATGGAATCTGGGAGAAGGGGATTGAGTCTGGGAGGGCGCGATGGAATCTGGGAGAAGGGGATGGAATCTGGGAGAAGGGGATGGTATGAGGGAGAAGGGGATGGAATCGGGGAGAAGGGGATTGAATCTGGGCGAAGGGGATGGAATCTGGGAGAAGGGGATGGAATCTGGGAAAGGGGATGGAATCTGGGAGAAGGGGATGGAATCTGGGAGAAGGGGATGGAATCTGGGAGAAGGGGATGGAATTTGAGAGAAGGGGATGGAATCTGGAAGAAGGGGATGGAATCCGGGGGGAAGGGATGGAATCTGGGAGAAGGGGATGGAATATGGGAGAAGGGGATGGAATCTGGGAGAAGGGGATGGAATCAGGGAGAAGGGGATCGAATCAGGGAGTAGGGGTTGGAATCTGGGAGAAGGGGATGGAATCAGGGAGAAGGGGATGGAATCTGGGAGAAGGGGATGGAATCGGGGAGAAGGGGATGGAATCTGGAAGAAGGGGGTGGAATCTGGGAGAAGGAGATGGAATGAGGGAGAAGGGGATGGAATCTGGGAGAAGGGGATGGAATCTGGGAGAAGGGGATGGAATTTGGGAGAAGGGGATGGAATCGGGGAGAAGGGGATGGAATCTGGAAGAAGGGGGTGGAATCTGGGAGAAGGAGATGGAAGGAGGGAGAAGGGGATGGAATCTGGGAGGAGGGGATGGAATCTGGGAGAAGGGGATGGAATCTGGGAGAAGGGGATGGAATTTGAGAGAAGGGGATGGAATCTGGAAGAAGGGGGTGGAATCTGGGAGAACGAGATGGAATAAGGGAGAAGGGGATGGAATCTTGGCAAAGGGGATGGAATCTGGGAGAAGGGGATGGAATCTGGGAGAAGGGGATGGAATCTGGGAGAAGCGGATCAAATAAGAGAGAAGGGGATGGAATCTGGGAGAAGGGGATGGAATCTGGGAGAAGAGGATGGAATCTGGGAGAAGGGGATGGAATCTGGGAGAAGGGGATGGAATCTGGGAGAAGGGGATGGAATTTGGGAGAAGGGGATGGAATCTGGGAGAAGGGGATGGAATCTGGAAGAAGGGGATGGAATCCGGGGGGAAGGGATGGAATCTGGGAGAAGGGGATGGAATATGGGAGAAGGGGATGGAATCTGGGAGAAGGGGATGGAATCAGGGAGAAGGGGATCGAATCAGGGAGTAGGGGTTGGAATCTGGGAGAAGGGGATGGAATCTGAGAGAAGGGGATGGAATCTGGGAGAAGGGGATGGAATTTGTGAGAAGGGGATGGAATCTGGGAGAAGGAGATGGAATCTGGAAGAAGGGGGTGGAATCTGGGAGAAGGAGATGGAATGAGGGAGAAGGGGATGGAATCTTGGAGAAGGGGATGGAATCGGGGAGAAGGGGATGGAATCTGGGAGAAGGGGATGGAGTCGGGGAGGGCGGGATGGAATCTGGGAGAAGGGGATAGAATGAGGGAGAAGGGGATGGAATCTGGCAGAAGGGGATGGAATCTGGGAGAAGGGGATGGAATCTAGGAGAAGGGGATGGAATCTGGGAGAAGGGGATGGAATTTGGGAGAAGTGGATGGAATCAGGGAGAAGGGGATGGAATCTGGGAGAAGGGGATGGAATCTGGGAGAAGGGGATGGAATATGGGAGAAGGGGATGGAATCTGGGAGAAGGGGATAGAATCTGGGAGAAGGGGATGGAATCTGGGAGAAGGGGATGGAATCAGGGAGAAGGGGATGGAATCTGAGAGAAGGGGATGGAATCTGGGAGAAGGGGATGGAATCTGGGAGAAGGGGATGGAATCTGGGAGAAGGGGATGGAATCTAGGAGAAGGGGATGGAATCTGTGAGAAGGGGATGGAATCAGGGAGAAGGGGATGGAATCTGGGAGAAGGGGATGGAATCTGGGAGAAGGGGATTAAGTCTGGGAGGGCGCGATGGAATCTGGGAGAAGGGGATGGAATCTGGGAGAAGGGGATGGAATGAGGGAGAAGGGGATGGAATCGGGGAGAAGGGGATGGAATCTGGGCGAAGGGGATGGAATTTGTGAGAAGGGGATGGAATCTGGGAGAAGGAGATGGAATCTGGAAGAAGGGGGTGGAATCTGGGAGAAGGAGATGGAATGAGGGAGAAGGGGATGGAATCTGGGAGAAGGGGATGGAATCTGGGAGAAGGGGATGGAATCTGGGAGAAGGGGATGGAGTCTGGGAGGGCGGGATGGAATCTGGGAGAAGGAGATAGAATGAGGGAGAAGGGGATGGAATATGGCAGAAGGGGATGGAATCTGGGAGAAGGGGATGGAATTTGGGAGAAGGGGATGGAATCTGGGAGAAGGGGATGGAATTTGGGAGAAGGGGATGGAGTCACGAAGAAGGGGATGGAATATGGGAGAAGGGGATGGAATCTGGGAGAAGGGGATGGAATATGGGAGAAGGGGATGGAATCTGGGAGAAGGGGATAGAATCTGGGAGAAGGGGATGGAATCTGGGAGAAGGGGATGGAATCAGGGAGAAGGGGATGGAATCTGAGAGAAGCGGATGGAATCTGGGAGAAGGGGATGGAATCTGGGAGAAGGGGATGGAATCTGGGAGAAGGGGATGGAATCTAGGAGAAGGGGATGGAATCTGTGAGAAGGGGATGGAATCTGGGAGAAGGGGATGGAATCTGGGAGAAGGGGATGGAATCTGGGAGAAGGGGATTGAGTCTGGGAGGGCGCGATGGAATCTGGGAGAAGGGGATGGAATCTGGGAGAAGGGGATGGTATGAGGGAGAAGGGGATGGAATCGGGGAGAAGGGGATTGAATCTGGGCGAAGGGGATGGAATCTGGGAGAAGGGGATGGAATCTGGGAAAGGGGATGGAATCTGGGAGAAGGGGATGGAATCTGGGAGAAGGGGATGGAATCTGGGAGAAGGGGATGGAATTTGAGAGAAGGGGATGGAATCGGGGAGAAGGGGATGGAATCTGGAAGAAGGTGGTGGAATCTGGGAGAAGGAGATGGAATGAGGGAGAAGGGGATGGAATCTGGGAGAAGGGGATGGAATCTGGGAGAAGGGAATGGAATCTAGGAGAAGGGGATGGAGTCTGGGAGGGCGGGATGGAATCTGGGAGAAGGGGATGGAATCTGGGAGAAGGGGATGGAATCTGGGAGAAGGGGATGGAATCTGGGAGAAAGGGGATGGAATCTAGGAGAAGGGGATGGAATCAGGGTGAAGGGGATGGAATCTGGGAGAAGGGGATGGAATCTGGGAGAAAGGGGTGGAATCTGGGAGAAGGGGATGGAATCTGGGAGAAGGGGATGGAATCTGGGAGAAGGGGATGGAATCTGGGAGAAGGGGATGGAATCTGGGAGAAGGGGATAGAATCAGGGAGAAGGGGATGGAATCTGGGAGAAGGGGATGGAATCTAGGAGAAGGGGATGGAATCAGGGAGAAGGGGATGGAATCTGGGAGAAGGGGATGGAATCTGGGAGAAGGGGGTGGAATCTGGGAGAAGGGGATGGAATCTGGGAGAAGGGGATGGAATTTGGGAGAAGGGGATGGAATATGGGAGAAGGGGATGGAATCAGGGAGAAGGGGATGGAATCTGGGAGAAGGGGATGGAATCTGGGAGAAGGGGATGGAATCTGGGAGAAGGGGATGGAATCTGGGAGAAGGGGATTGAATCAGGGAGAAGGGGATGGGATCTGGGAGAAGGGGGTGGAATCTAGGAGAAGGGGGTGGAATCTGGGAGAAGGGGGTGGAATCTGGGAGAAGGGGATGGAATCTAGGAGAAAGGGATGGAATCTGGGAGAAGGGGATGGAATCGGGGAGAAGGGGATGGAATCTGGGAGAAGGAGATGGCATCTGGGAGAAGGGGGTGGAATCTGGGAGAACGGGATGAAATCTGGAAGAAGGGGATGGAATCTGGGAGAAGGGGATGGAATCTGGGACAAGGGGATGGAATCTGGGAGAAGGGGATGGAATCAGGGAGAAGGGGATGGAAACTGGGAGAAGGGGATGGAATCTGGGAGAAGGGGGTGGAATCTGGGAGAAGGGGATGGAATCTGGGAGAAGGGGATAGAATCTGGGAGAAGGGGATGGAATCGGGGAGAAGGGGATGGAATCTGGGAGAAGGGGATGGAATCTGGGAGAAAGGGATAGAATATGGGAGAAGGGGATGGAATATGGGAGAAGGGGATGGAATCTGGGAGAAGGGGATGGAATCTGGGAGAAGGGGGTGGAATCAGGGAGAAGGGGATGAAATCTGGGAGAAGGGGATGGAATCTGGGAGAAGGAGATGGAATCTGGGAGAAGGGGGTGGAATCTGGGAGAAGGGGATGAAATCTGGGAGAAGGGGATGGAATCTCCGAGAAGGGGATGGAATCTGGGAGAAGGGGTTGGAATCTGGGAGATGGGGATGGAATCTAGGAGAAGGGGGTGGAATCTGGGAGAAGGGGATGAAATCGGGAAGAAGGGGATGGAATCTGGGAGAAGGGGATGGAATCTGGTTGAAGGTTATGGAATCTGGGAGTAGGGGATGGAATCTGGGAGAAGGGGATGGAATCAGGGAGAAGGGGATGGAATCTGGGAGAAGGTGATGGAATCTGGGAGAAGGGGGTGGAATCTGGGAGAACGGGATGGAATCTAGGAAAAGGGGATGGAATCGGGGAGAAGGGGATGGAATCTGGGTCCACCTCCACCTCCACGTCCACGTCCACGTCCACGACCACGTCCATGTCCACGTCCAAGTCCTCCACGTCCATGTCCACGTCCATGTCCACGTCCAGGTCCACGTCCACGTCCACGTCCACGTCCACGACCACGTCCACGACCACGTCCACGACCACGTCCACGTCCACGTCCACGTCCACGTCCACGTCCACGACCACGACCACGACCATGTCCACGTCCACGTCCACGTCCACGTCCATGTCCACGTCCACGTCTACGTCCACGTCCATGTCCACGTCCAAGTCCACGTCCACGTCCAGGTCCACGTCCATGTCCACGTCCAAGTCCTCCACGTCCACGTCCACGTCCACGTCCATGTCCACGTCCAAGTCCTCCACGTCCATGTCCACGTCAACGTCCACGACCACGTCCACGTCCACGTCCATGTCCACGTCCAAGTCCTCCACGTCCATGTCCATGTCTACGTCCACGTCCACGTCCATGTCCAAGTCCACGTCCATGTCCATGTCCACGTCCACGTCCACGTCCATGTCCACGTCCACGTCCACGTCCACGTCCTGGTCCACGTCCACATCCACGTCCACGTCCACGTCCACGACCACGTCCACGTCCACGTCCACGTCCAGGTCCACGTCCACGTCCACTTCCACGACCACGTCCACGTCCACGTCCACGTCCATGTCCACGTCCACGTCCACGTCCACGTCCACGACCACGACCACGACCACGTCCACGTCCACGTCCACGTCCACGACCACGTCCACGTCCACGTCCACGTCCACGTCCACGTCCACGTCCACGACCACGACCACGTCCACGTCCACGTCCACGTCCACGTCCATGTCCACGTCCAAGTCCTCCACGTCCATGTCCACGTCCATGTCCACGTCCACGTCTACGTCCACGTCCACGTCCACGTCCACGTCCATGTCCATGTCCACGTCCATGTCCACGTCCACGTCCACGTCCACGTCTACGTCCACGTCCACGTCCATGTCCAAGTCCATGTCTATGTCCATGTCCACGTCCACGTCCACGTCCACGTCCAGGTCCACGTCCACGTCCAAGTCCATGTCCACGTCCAAGTCCACGTCCACGTCCATGTCCACGTCCATGTCCACGTCCACATCCATGTCCTTGCCACGTTTACGTCCACGTCCACGTCCACGTCCAGGTCCACATCCAGGTCCACGTCCACGTCCATGTCCACGTCCACGTCCACGTACACGTCCATGTCCACGTCCACGTCCACATCCACGTCCAGGTCCACGTCCATGTCCACGTCCACGTCCACGTCCACGTCCATGTCCACGTCTAAGTCCTCCACGTCCACGTCTACGCCAACGTCCATGACCTCGTCCATGTCCACGTCCAAGTCCTCCACGTCCATGTCCACGTCCATGTCCACATCCACGTCCACGTCCACGTCCATGTCCATGTCCAAGTCCACGTCCATGTCCATGTCCACGTCCACGTCCATGTCAATGTCCACGTCGACGTCCATGTCCACGTCCACGTCCACGTCCACGTCCATGTCAACGTCCGCGTCCACGTCCACGTCCACGACCACGTCCATGCCCACGTCCACGTCCACGTCCTTGTCCACGTCCACGACCACGACCACGATCACGTCCACGTCCACGTCCACGTCCATGTCCACGTCCAAGTCCTCCACGTCCATGTCCACGTCCACGTCCATGTCCACGTCCACATCCACGTCCACGTCCACGTCCACGACCACGACCACGACCACGTCCACGTCCACGATCACGACCACGTCCACGTTTACGTCCACGACCACGTCCACGTCCACGTCCACGTTCACGTCCACGTCCAGGTCCACGTTCACGTCCACGTCCAGGTCCACGTCCACGTCCACGTCCACGTCCACATCCATGTCCACGTCCATGTCCACGTCCAAGTCATGCACGTCCACGTCCACGTCCATGTCCATGTCAACGTTCAAGTCCTCCACGTCCACGTCCACGTCAACGTCCACGACCACGTCCATGTCCACGTCCAAGTCCTCCACGTCCATGTCCATGTCCACGTCCACGTCGACGTCCATGTCCACGTCCACGTCCATGTCCACGTCCACGACCACGTCCACGTCCACGTCCACGTCCACCTCCACCTCAAACTCCACCTCCACGTCCACGTCCACGTCTACGTCCACGACCACGTCCATGTCCACGTCCAAGTCCTCCACGTCCATGTCCATGTCCATGTCCACGTCCACGTCCACGTCCATGTCCACGCCACGTCCACGCCCATGTCCACGTCCATGTCCAGGTCCATGTCCACGTCCATGTCCACGTCCACGTCCACGTCCACGTCCACGTCTACGTCCATGTCCACGTCCACGTCCACGTCCATGTCCACGTCCACGTCCACCTCCACCTCCACGTCCACGTCCACGTCCACGTCCACGACCACCTCCATGTCCACGTCCAAGTCCTCCACGTCCATGTCCACGTCCATGTCCACGTCCACGTCCACGTCCATGTCCACGCCTCGTCCACGTCCACGTCCACGTCCACGTCCATGTCCACGTCCATGTCCACGTCCACGTAAACGTCCACGTCCACGTCCACGTCCATGTCCACGTCCACGTCCATGTCCATGTCCATGTCCACGTCCACGTCCACGTCCACGTCCATGTCCACGTCCAAGTCCTCCACGTCCACGTCCACGTCCACGTCCACGTCCATGTCCACGTCCACGTCCACGTCCACGTCCACGACCATGTCCACGTCCATGTCCACGTTCACGTCCACGTCCACGTCCACGTCCACTTCCACCTCTACGTCCACGTCCACGTCCACGTCCACGACCACGTCCATGTCGACGTCCAAGTCCTCAACGTCCATGTCGACGTCCAAGTCCTCCACGTCCATGTCCACGTCCATGTCCACGTCCACGTCCACGTCCACGTCCAGATCCACGTCCATGTCCACGTCCACGTCCACGTCCACGACCACAACCACGTCCACGTCCACGTCCATGTCCACGTCCACGTCCACGTCCACGTCCACATCCATGTCCACGTCCAAGTCCACGTCCACGTCCACGTCCACGTCCATGTCCACGTCCATGTCCACGTCCAAGTCCTCCACGTCCACGTCCACGTCAACGTCCACGACCACGTCCATATCCACGTCCAAGTCCTCCACGTCCATGTCGACGTCCATGTCCTCGTCCACGTCCACGTCCACGTCCATGTCCAGTTCCACGTCCATGTCCATGTCCACGTCCAGGTCCACGTCCATGTCCACGTCGACGTCCACGTCAATGTCCACGTCCACGTCCATGTCCAAGTCCACGTCCATGTCCATGTCCACGTCCACGTCCACGTCCATGTCCACGTCGACGTGCACGTCGACGTCCACCTCCACGTCCACGTCCAAGTCCACGTCCACGTCCACGACCAGGTCCACGTCCACGTCCACGTCCACGTCCACGACCACGACCACGACCACGACCAGGTCCATGTCCATGTCCACGTCTCGTCCACGTCCATGTCCACGTCCATGTCCACGTCTACGTCCACGTCCATGTCCACGTCCACGTCCACGTCCACGTCCACGACCATATCCACGTCCACGACCACGTCCACGTCCACGTCCATGTCCACGTCCATGTCCACGTCCAAGTCCTCCACGTCCACGTCCACGTCCACGACCACGTCCATGTCCTTGCCAAGTCCGCCACGTCCATGTCCACGCCCATGTCCACGTCCACGTCCACGTCCACGTCCATGTCCACGTCCACGTCCACGTCTCGTCCATGTCCACTTCCAGGTCCACATCCATGTCCACGTCCACGTCCACGTCCATGTCCACGTCCACGTCCACGACCACGTCCACGTCCACCTCCACGTCCACATCCACCTCCACGTCCACCTCCACGTCTACGTGCACGTCTATGTCCACGTCCACGTCCACGTCAACGTCCACCTCCACCTCCACGTCCACGTCCACGTCTACGTCCACGTCCACGTCCACGTCCATGTCCACGTCCACGACCACGTCCAAGTCCACGTCCACGTCCACCTCCACGTCCATGTCCACGTCCACGTCCATGTCCATGTCCATGTCCACGTCCACGTCCACGTCCATGTCGACGTCCACGTCCACGACCACGTCCACGTCCACCTCCACGTCCACATCCACCTCCACGTCCACCTCCACGTCTACGTGCACGTCTATGTCCACGTCCACGTCCACGTCAACGTCCACCTCCACCTCGACGTCCACGTCCACGTCTACGTCCACGTCCACGTCCACGTCCATGTCCACGTCCACGACCACGTCCAAGTCCACGTCCACGTCCACCTCCACGTCCATGTCCACGTCCACGTCCATGTCCATGTCCATGTCCACGTCCACGTCCACGTCCACGTCCATGTCCACGTCCAAGTCCTCCACGTCCACGTCTACGTCCACGTCCACGTCCATGTCCACGTCCACGTCCACGTCCACGTCCACGACCATGTCCACGTCCATGTCCACGTTCACGTCCACGTCCACGTCCACGTCCACTTCCACCTCTACGTCCACGTCCACGTCCACGTCCACGACCACGTCCATGTCGACGTCCAAGTCCTCAACGTCCATGTCGACGTCCAAGTCCTCCAAGTCCATGTCCACGTCCATGTCCACGTCCACGTCCACGTCCACGTCCAGATCCACGTCCATGTCCACGTCCACGTCCACGTCCACGTCCACGACCACAACCACGTCCACGTCCACGTCCATGTCCACGTCCACGTCCACGTCCACGTCCACATCCATGTCCACGTCCAAGTCCACGTCCACGTCCACGTCCACGTCCATGTCCACGTCCATGTCCACGTCCAAGTCCTCCACGTCCACGTCCACGTCAACGTCCACGACCACGTCCATATCCACGTCCAAGTCCTCCACGTCCATGTCGACGTCCATGTCCTCGTCCACGTCCACGTCCACGTCCATGTCCAGTTCCACGTCCATGTCCATGTCCACGTCCACGTCCACGTCCATGTCCACGTCGACGTCCACGTCAATGTCCACGTCCACGTCCATGTCCAAGTCCACGTCCATGTCCATGTCCACGTCCACGTCCACGTCCATGTCCACGTCGACGTGCACGTCGACGTCCACGTCCACGTCCACGTCCAAGTCCACGTCCACGTCCACGACCAGGTCCACGTCCACGTCCACGTCCACGTCCACGACCACGACCACGACCACGACCAGGTCCATGTCCATGTCCACGTCTCGTCCACGTCCATGTCCACGTCCATGTCCACGTCTACGTCCACGTCCATGTCCACGTCCACGTCCACGTCCACGTCCACGTCCACGACCATATCCACGTCCACGACCACGTCCACGTCCACGTCCATGTCCACGTCCATGTCCACGTCCAAGTCCTCCACGTCCACGTCCACGTCCACGACCACGTCCATGTCCACGTCCAAGTCCTCCACGTCCATGTCCACGCCCATGTCCACGTCCACGTCCACGTCCACGTCCATGTCCACGTCCACGTCCACGTCCACGTCCATGTCCACTTCCAGGTCCACATCCATGTCCACGTCCACGTCCACGTCCATGTCCACGTCCACGTCCACGACCACGTCCACGTCCACCTCCACGTCCACATCCACCTCCACGTCCACCTCCACATCTACGTGCACGTCTATGTCCACGTCCACGTCCACGTCAACGTCCACCTCCACCTCCACGTCCACGTCCACGTCTACGTCCACGTCCACGTCCACGTCCACCTCCACCTCCACGTCCACATCCACCTCCATGTCCACGTCCACGTCCACGTCCATGTCCACGTCCACGACCACGTCCAAGTCCACGTCCACGTCCACCTCCACGTCCATGTCCACGTCCACGTCCATGTCCATGTCCATGTCCACGTCCACGTCCACGTCCACGTCCACGTCCATGTCCACGTCCAAGTCCTCCACGTCCACGTCCACGTCCACGTCCACGTCCATGTCCACGTCCACGTCCACGTCCACGTCCACGACCATGTCCACGTCCATGTCCACGTTCACGTCCACGTCCACGTCCACGTCCACTTCCACCTCTACGTCCACGTCCACGTCCACGTCCACGACCACGTCCATGTCGACGTCCAAGTCCTCAACGTCCATGTCGACGTCCAAGTCCTCCACGTCCATGTCCACGTCCATGTCCACGTCCACGTCCACGTCCACGTCCAGATCCACGTCCATGTCCACGTCCACGTCCACGTCCACGTCCACGACCACAACCACGTCCACGTCCACGTCCATGTCCACGTCCACGTCCACGTCCACGTCCACATCCATGTCCACGTCCAAGTCCACGTCCACGTCCACGTCCACGTCCATGTCCACGTCCATGTCCACGTCCAAGTCCTCCACGTCCACGTCCACGTCAACGTCCACGACCACGTCCATATCCACGTCCAAGTCCTCCACGTCCATGTCGACGTCCATGTCCTCGTCCACGTCCACGTCCACGTCCATGTCCAGTTCCACGTCCATGTCCATGTCCACGTCCACGTCCACGTCCATGTCCACGTCGACGTCCACGTCAATGTCCACGTCCACGTCCATGTCCAAGTCCACGTCCATGTCCATGTCCACGTCCACGTCCACGTCCATGTCCACGTCGACGTGCACGTCGACGTCCACGTCCACGTCCACGTCCAAGTCCACGTCCACGTCCACGACCAGGTCCACGTCCACGTCCACGTCCACGACCACGACCACGACTACGACCAGGTCCATGTCCATGTCCACGTCTCGTCCACGTCCATGTCCACGTCCATGTCCACGTCTACGTCCACGTCCATGTCCACGTCCACGTCCACGTCCACGTCCACGACCATATCCACGTCCACGACCACGTCCACGTCCACGTCCATGTCCACGTCCATGTCCACGTCCAAGTCCTCCACGTCCACGTCCACGTCCACGACCACGTCCATGTCCACGTCCAAGTCCTCCACGTCCATGTCCACGCCCATGTCCACGTCCACGTCCACGTCCACGTCCATGTCCACGTCCACGTCCACGTCCACGTCCACGTCCATGTCCACTTCCAGGTCCACATCCATGTCCTCGTCCACGTCCACGTCCATGTCCACGTCCACGTCCACGACCACGTCCACGTCCACCTCCACGTCCACATCCACCTCCACGTCCACCTCCACGTCTACGTGCACGTCTATGTCCACGTCCACGTCCACGTCAACGTCCACCTCCACCTCCACGTCCACGTCCACGTCTACGTCCACGTCCACGTCCACGTCCACCTCCACCTCCACGTCCACATCCACCTCCATGTCCACGTCCACGTCCACGTCCATGTCCACGTCCACGACCACGTCCAAGTCCACGTCCACGTCCACCTCCACGTCCACGTCCACGTCCATGACCACGTCCACGTCCACGTCCACGTCCAGGTCCACGTCCACGTCCACGTCCACCTCCACCTCCACGTCCACGTCCACGTCCACCTCCACCTGCACCTCCACGTCCATGTCCACCTCCACCTCCACGTCCACGTCCACGTCCACGTCCACCTCCACGTCCACGTCCACGTCCACGTCCACGACCACGTCCACGACCAGGTCCACGTCCACGTCCACGTCCACGTCCATGTCCACGTCCACGCCACGACCACGTCCACGTCCACGTGCACGTCCACGACCACGACCACGTCCACGTCCACGACCACGTCCACGTCCACGTCCATGTCCACGTCCATGTCCACGTCCACGTCTACGACCACGACCACGTCCATGTCCACGTCCAAGTCCCCCACGTCCACGTCCATGTCCACGTCCACGTCCACGTCCATGTCCACGTCCAAGTCCTCCACGTCCACGTCCACGTCCATGTCAACGTCCACGTCCACGTCCACGTCCATGTCCACGTCCACGTCCATGTCCACGTCCACGTCCACGTCCATGTCCACGTCCACGTCCACGTCCATGTCCACGTCCACGTCCACGTCCACGTCCACGTCCACCTCCACGTCCACGTCCACGTCCACCTCCACGTCCACGTCCACCTCCACCTCCACGTCCACGTCCACCTCCACCTCCACCTCCACGTCCACGTCCACGTCCACGTCCACGTCCACGACCACGTCCACGACCATGTCCAGGTCCATGTCCACGTCCACGTCCACCTCCACCTCCACCTCCACCTCCACCTCCACCTCCACCTCCACCTCCTTGTCCACGTCCAAGTCCACGTCCACCTCCACGTCCAGGTCCACGTCCACGTCCACTTCCACGTCCACCTCCACCTTCACGTCCACCTCCACGTCTACGTCCGCGTCCACGTCCACGTCCACGTCGACGTCCACGTCCACCTCCACGTCCACCTCCACCTCCACGTACACGTCCACGTCCACGTCCACCTCCACGTCCACCTCCTCCTCCACGTCCACCTCCACGTCCACGTCCCCGTCCATGTCCACGTCCACGTCCACATCTACCTCCACCTCCACGTCCACGTCCACGTCCACGTCCAGGTCCAGGTCCACGTCCACGTCCACGTTCACCTCCACCTATACCTCCACCTCCACCTCCACCTCCACCTCCACGTCCAGGTTCACGTCCACGTCCACCTCCACGTACACGTCCACCTCCACCTCCACGTCCATGTCCACGTCGATGACCACGTCCACGTCCACGTCCACCTCCACGTCCAGGTCCATGTCCACGTCCATGTCCATGTCCACGTCTACGACCACGACCACGTCCATGTCCACGTCCAAGTCCCCCACGTCCACGTCCATGTCCACGTCCACGTCCACGTCCACGTCCACGTCCATGTCCACGTCCAAGTCCTCCACGTCCACGTCCACGTCCATGTCAACGTCCACGTCCACGTCCACGTCCATGTCCACGTCCACGTCCATGTCCACGTCCACGTCCACGTCCATGTCCACGTCCACGTCCATGTCCACGTCCACGTCCACGTCCACGTCCACGTCCACCTCCACGTCCACGTCCACGTCCACCTCCACGTCCACGTCCACCTCCACCTCCACGTCCACGTCCACGTCCACCTCCACCTCCACGTCCACGTCCACGTCCACGTCCACGTCCACGACCACGTCCACGACCATGTCCAGGTCCATGTCCACGTCCACGTCCACCTCCACGTCCAGGTCCACGTCCACGTCCACTTCCACCTCCACCTCCACCTCCACGTCCACCTCCACGTCTACGTCCGCGTCCACGTCCACGTCCACGTCCACCTCCACCTCCACGTCCACCTCCACCTCCACGTACACGTCCACGTCCACGTCCACCTCCACGTCCACCTCCACCTCCACGTCCACCTCCACGTCCACGTCCCCGTCCATGTCCACGTCCACGTCCACATCTACCTCCACCTCCACGTCCACGTCCACGTCCACGTCCAGGTCCAGGTCCACGTCCACGTCCACGTTCACCTCCAGCTATACCTCCACCTCCACCTCCACCTCCACCTCCACGTCCACGTCCACGTTCGCGTCCACGTCCACCTCCACGTACACGTCCACCTCCACCTCCACGTCCATGTCCACGTCCATGACCACGTCCACGTCCACGTCCACGTCCACCTCCACGTCCAGGTCCACGTCCACGTCCACGTCCACCTCCACCTCCACGTCCAAGTCCACGTCCAAGTCCACGTCCACGTCCACGTCCATGTCCACCTCCACGTCCACCTCGACGTCCACGTCCACGTCCATGTCCACGTCCACGTCCACGTCCACGTCCACGTCCGCGTCCATGTCCACGTCCATGTCCATGTCCATGTCCATGTCCACGTCCATGTCCACGACCACGTCCATGTCCACGTCCAAGTCCTCCACGTCCATGTCCATGTCCATATCCACGTCCACGTTCAAGTCCACGTCCACGTCCACGTCCACGTCCAAGTCCACGTCTAGGTCCACCTCCACCTCCACGTCCATGTCCACGTCCACGTCCACGTCCACGTCCAAGTCCACGTCCACGTCCACGTCCACGTCCACGTCTATGTCCACCTCCACGTCCACCTCGACGTCCACGTCCACGTCCACGTCCATGTCCACGTCCACGTCCACGTCCGCGTCCATGTCCACGTCCATGTCCATGTCCATGTCCATGTCCACGTCCATGTCCACGACCACGTCTATGTCCACGTCCAAGTCCTCCACGTCCATGTCCACGTCCATTTCCACGTCCACGTCCACGTCCACGTCCACGTCCACGTCCATGTCCACGTCCACTTCCACGTCCATGTCCACGTCCACGTCCACGTCCATGTCCCATCGACGTCGACGTCCACGTCCACGTCCATGTCCACGTCCACGTCCACGTCCACGTCCATGTCCACGTCCATGTCCACGTCCATGTCCACGTCCACGTCCACGTCCACGTCCACGACCACGTCCACGTCCATGTCCACGTCCACGACCACGTCCACGTCCACGTCCAGGTCCACGTCCACGTCCACGGTCCACGTCCACGTCCACGTCTAGGTCCACGTCCACGACCACGTCCACGTCCACGTCCATGTCCACGTCCACGTCCACGTCCACGTCCATGTCCCATCGACGTCCACGTCCACGTCCACGTCCACGTCCATGTCCACGTCCACGTCCACGTCCACGTCCACGACCATGTCCACGACCATGTCCACGTCCATGTCCACGTCCACGTCCACGTCCATGTCCACGTCCATGTCCACGTCCAAGTCCTCCACGTCCACGTCCACGTCCACGTCCACGACCACGTCCACGTCCAATTCCTCCACGTCCACGTCCACGTCCACGTCCACGTCTACGTCCACGTCCACGTCCATGTCCACGTCCATGTCCACGTCCAAGTGCTCCACGTCCATGTCCACGACCACGTCCACGTCCATGTCCACGTCCATGTCCACGTCCACGTCCATGTCCACGTCCACGTCCACGTCCATGTCCACGTCCATGTCCACGTCCGTCCACGTCCGCGTCCACGTCCACGTCCGCGTCCATGTCCACGTCCACGTCCACGTCCATGTCCACGTCCATGTCCACGTCCACGTCCACGTCCATGTCCACGTCCATGTCCACGTCCACGTCCACGTCCACGACCACGTCCACGACCATGTCCAGGTCCATGTCCACGTCCACGTCCACCTCCACCTCCACGTCCACCTCCACCTCCACCTCCACCTCCACCTCCACGTCCACGTCCAAGTCCACGTCCACCTCCACGTCCAGGTCCACGTCCACGTCCACTTCCACGTCCACCTCCACCTCCACGTCCACCTCCACGTCTACGTCCGCGTCCACGTCCACGTCCACGTCCACGTCCACCTCCACCTCCACGTCCACCTCCACCTCCACGTACACGTCCACGTCCACGTCCACCTCCACGTCCACCTCCACCTCCACGTCCACCTCCACGTCCACGTCCCCGTCCATGTCCACGTCCACGTCCACATCTACCTCCACCTCCACGTCCACGTCCACGTCCACGTCCAGGTCCACGTCCACGTCCACGTCCACGTTCACCTCCACCTATACCTCCACCTCCACCTCCACCTCCACCTCCACGTCCACGTCCACGTTCACGTCCACGTCCACCTCCACGTACACGTCCACCTCCACCTCCACGTCCATGTCCACGTCCATGACCACGTCCACGTCCACGTCAACGTCCACCTCCACGTCGAGGTCCACGTCCACGTCCACGTCCACGTCCACCTCCACCTCCACGTCCAAGTCCACGTCCAAGTCCACGTCCACATCCACGTCCATGTCCACCTCCACGTCCACCTCGACGTCCACGTCCACGTCCACGTCCATGTCCACGTCCACGTCCACGTCCACGTCCACGTCCGCGTCCATGTCCCCGTCCATGTCCATGTCCATGTCCATGTCCACGTCCATGTCCACGACCACGTCCACGTCCACGTCCAAGTCCTCCACGTCCATGTCCACGTCCATATCCACGTCCAAGTTCAAGTCCACGTCCACGTCCACGTCCAAGTCCACGTCTAGGTCCACCTCCACCTCCACGTCCATGTCCACGTCCACGTCCACGTCCAAGTCCACGTCCACGTCCACGTCCACGTCCATGTCCACCTCCACGTCCACCTCGACGTCCACGTCCACGTCCACGTCCATGTCCACGTCCACGTCCACGTCCACGTCCGCGTTCATGTCCACGTCCATGTCCATGTCCATGTCCATGTCCACGTCCATGTCCACGACCACGTCCATGTCCACGTCCAAGTCCTCCACGTCCATGTCCACGTCCATTTCCACGTCGACGTCCACGTCCACGTCCACGTCCATGTCCACGTCCACGTCCACGTCCATGTCCACGTCCACGTCCACGTCCATGTCCCATCGACGTCGACGTCCACATCCACGTCCACGTCCATGTCCACGTCCACGTCCACGTCCACGTCCATGTCCACGTCCATGTCCACGTCCATGTCCACGTCCACGTCCACGTCCACGTCCACGTTCACGTCCACGACCACGTCCACGTCCATGTCCACGTCCACGACCACGTCCACGTCCACGTCCAGGTCCACGTCCACGTCCACGGTCCACGTCCACGTCCACGTCTAGGTCCACGTCCACGACCACGTCCACGTCCACGTCCATGTCCACGTCCACGTCCACGTCCATGTCCTTTCGACGTCGACGTCCACGTCCACGTCCACGACCATGTCCACGTCCATGTCCACGTCCACGTCCACGTCCATGTCCACGTCCATGTCCACGTCCAAGTCCTCCACGTCCACGTCCACGTCCACGTCCACGACCACGTCCAATTCCTCCACGTCCACGTCCACGTCCACGTCCACGTCCACGTCTACGTCCACGTCCACGTCCATGTCCACGTCCATGTCCACGTCCAAGTGCTCCACGTCCATGTCCACGACCACGTCCACGTCCATGTCCACGTCCATGTCCACGTCCACGTCCATGTCCTCGTCCACGTCCACGTCCACGTCCATGTCCACGTCCATGTCCACGTCCGTCCACGTCCGCGTCCACGTCCACGTCCGCGTCCATGTCCACGTCCACGTCCACGTCCATGTCCACGTCCATGTCCACGTCCACGTCCACGTCCATGTCCACGTCCATGTCCACGTCCATGTCCACGTACATGTCCACGTCCACGTCCACGTCCACGTCCACGTCCACGACCACCTCCATGTCTACGTCCACGTCCACGTCCACGTCCACGGTCCACGTCCACGTCCACGTCCAGGTCCACGTCCACGTCCACGTCCACGTCCACGACCATGTCGACGTCCATGTCCACGTCCACGTCCACGTCTACGTCCACGTCCACGTCCAAATCCTCCACGTCCACGTCCACGTCCACGTCCACGACCATGTCCACGTCCATGTCCATGTCCATGTCCATTTCCACGTCCATGTCCACGACCACGTCCATGTCCACGTCCAAGTCCTCCACGTCCATGTCCACGTCCATTTCCACGTCCACGTCCACGTCGACGTCCATGTCCACGTCCACGTCCACGTCCATGTCCACGTCCACGTCCACGTCCACGTCCATGTCCCATCGACGTCGACGTCGACGTCCACGTCCACGTCCATGTCCACGTCCACGTCCACGTCCATGTCCACGTCCATGTCCACGTCCATGTCCACGTCCACGTCCACGTCCACGTCCACGTCCACGTCCCGACCACGTCCACGTCCATGTCCACGTCCACGACCACGTCCACGTCCACGTCCAGGTCCACGTCCACGTCCACGGTCCACGTCCACGTCCACGTCCACGTCCACGTCCACGACCACGTCCACGTCCACGTCCACGTCCACGACCACGTCCACGACCATGTCCACGTCCATGTCCACGTCCACGTCCACGTCCATATCCACGTCCATGTCCACGTCCAAGTCCTCCACGTCCACGTCCACGTCCACGTCCACGACCACGTCCACGTCCAATTCCTCCACGTCCACGTCCACGTCCACGTCCACGTCTACGTCCACGTCCACGTCCATGTCCACGTCCATGTCCACGTCCAAGTCCTCCACGTCCATGTCCACGACCACGTCCACGTCCATGTCCACGTCCATGTCCACGTCCACGTCCATGTCCACGTCCATGCCACGTCCATGTCCACATCCATGTCCACGTCCGTCCACGTCCGCGTCCACGTCCACGTCCTCGTCCATGTCCACGTCCACGTCCACGTCCATGTCCACGTCCATGTCCACGTCCACGTCCATGTCCACGTCCATGTCCACGTACATGTCCACGTCCATGTCCACGTCCACATCCACGTCCACGTCCACGTCCACATCCACGTCCACGTCCACGACCACCTCCATGTCTACGTCCACGTCCACGTCCACGTCCACGGTCCACGTCCACGTCCACGTCCAGGTCCACGTCCACGTCCACGTCCACGACCATGTCCACGTCCATGTCCACGTCCACGTCTACGTCCACGTCCACGTCCAAATCCTCCACGTCCACGTCCACGTCCACGTCCATGTCCACGTCCATGTCCACGTCCAGGTCTACGTCCACGTCGACGTCGACGTCCACGTCCACGACCATGTCCACGTCCATGTCCACGTCCACGTCCACGTCCACGTCTACGTCCACGTCCAAATCCTCCACGTCCACGTCCACGGCCACGTCCACGACCACGTCCATGTCCACGTCCAAGTCCTCCACGTCCATGTCCACGTCCATGTCCACGTCCACGTCCACGTCCACGTCCATGTCCACGTCCATGTCCATGTCCATGTCCACGTCCACGTCCACGTCCACGTCCACGTCTACGTCCATGTCCACGTCCATGTCCACGTCCACGTCCACGTCCACGTCAACGTCCATGCCACGTCCATGTCCACGTCAACGTCCACGTCCACGTCCATGTCCACGTCCATGTCAACGTCCACGTCCACGTCCACGTCCATGTCCATGTCCACGTCCACGTCCACGTCCACGTCCACGTCCACCTCCACGTCTACGTCCACGTCCACGTCCACGTCCACGTCCACGTCAACGTCCACGTCCACGTCCACGTCCACGTCCACGTCCACGTCCACGTCCACGTCAACGTCCACGTCCACGTCAATGTCCATGTCCACGTCCACGTCCACGTCCATGTCCACGTCCATGTCCACGTCCAAGTCCTCCATGTCCACGTCCACGTCCACGACCACCTCCATGTCCACGTCCACGTCCACGTCCACGTCCATGTCCAAGTCCACGTCCGCGTCCATCCACGTCCACGTCCACGTCCACGTCCACGTCCACGTCCACGTCCACGTCCATGTCCACGTCCACGTCCATGTCCACGTCCACCTCCATGTCCATGTCCATCTCCATGTCCATGTCCACGTCCACGTCCACGTCCACGTCCACGTCCACGACCATGTCCACGTCCATGTCCACGTCCACGTCCACGTCTACGTCCACGTCCAAATCCTCCACGTCCACGTCCACGTCCACGTCCACGACCATGTCCACGTCCATGTCCATGTCCATGTCCATGTCCACGTCCATGTCCACGACCACGTCCATGTCCACGTCCAAGTCCTCCACGTCCATGTCCACGTCCATTTCCACGTCCACGTCCACGTCCACGTCCATGTCCACGTCCACGTCCACGTCCATGTCCCATCGACGTCGACGTCCACGTCCACGTCCACGTCCATGTCCACGTCCACGTCCACGTCCATGTCCACGTCCATGTCCACGTCCATGTCCACGTCCACGTCCACGTCTACGTCCACGTCCACGTCCACGTCCACGACCACGTCCACGTCCATGTCCACGTCCACGACCACGTCCACGTCCACGTCCAGGTCCACGTCCAAGTCCACGGTCCACGTCCACGTCCACGTCTACGTCCACGACCACGTCCACGTCCACGTCCACGTCCACGACCACGTCCACGACCATGTCCACGTCCATGTCCACGTCCACGTCCACGTCCATGTCCACGTCCATGTCCACATCCAAGTCCTCCACGTCCACGTCCACGTCCACGTCCACGACCACGTCCACGTCCAATTCCTCCACGTCCACGTCCACGTCCACGTCCACGTCCACGTCTACGTCAACGTCCACGTCCATGTCCACGTCCATGTCCACGTCCAAGTCCTCCACGTCCATGTCCACGACCACGTCCACGTCCATGTCCACGTCCATGTCCACGTCCACGTCCATGTCCACGTCCACGTCCACGTCCACGTCCATGTCCACGTCCATGTCCACGTCCGTCCACGTCCGCGTCCACGTCCACGTCCTCGTCCATGTCCACGTCCACGTCCACGTCCATGTCCACGTCCATGTCCACGTCCACGTCCACGTCCACGTCCATGTCCACGTCCATGTCCACGTCCATGTCCACGTACATGTCCACGTCCACGTCCACGTCCACGTCCACGTCCACGTCCACGACCACCTCCATGTCTACGTCCACGTCCACGTCCACGTCCACGTCCACGGTCCACGTCCACGTCCACGTCCAGGTCCACGTCCACGTCCACGTCCACGTCCACGTCCACGACCATGTCCACGTCCATGTCCACGTCCACGTCCACGTCTACGTCCACGTCCACGTCCAAATCCTCCACGTCCACGTCCACGTCCACGTCCACGTCTACGTCCACGTCCATGTCCACGTCCAGGTCCACGTCCATGTCGACGTCCACGTCCACGTCCACGACCATGTCCACGTCCATGTCCACGTCCACGTCCACGCCACGTCTACGTCCACGTCCACGTCCAAATCCTCCACGTCCACGTCCACGGCCACGTCCACGACCACGTCCATGTCCACGTCCAAGTCCTCCACGTCCATGTCCACGTCCATGTCCACGTCCACGTCCACGTCCACGTCCATGTCCACGTCCATGTCCTTGTCCACGTCCACGTCCACGTCCACGTCCACGTCTACGTCCATGTCCACGTCCATGTCCACGTCCACGTCCACGTCCACGTCAACGTCCACGTCCACGTCCATGTCCACGTCAACGTCCACGTCCACGTCCATGTCCACGTCCATGTCAACGTCCTCGTCCACGTCCACGTCCATGTCCATGTCCACGTCCACGTCCACGTCCACGTCCACGTCCACCTCCACGTCTACGTCCACGTCCACGTCCACGTCCACGTCCACGTCAACGTCCACGTCCGCGTCCACGTCCACGTCCACGTCAACGTCCACGTCCACGTCCACGTCCACGTCCATGTTCACGTCCACGTCCACGTCCATGTCCACGTCCATGTCCACGTCCACGTCCACGTCCACGTCCACATCCACGACCACGTCCACGACCATGTCCACGTCAATGTCCATGTCCACGTCCACGTCCACGTCTATGTCCACGTCCATGTCCACGTCCAAGTCCTCCATGTCCATGTCCACGTCCACGACCACCTCCACGTCCACGACCACCTCCATGTCCACGTCCACGTCCAAGTCCTCCACGTCCACGTCCACGTCCACGTCCACGTCCACGTCCATGTCCACGTCCACGTCCACGTCCACGTCCAAGTCCACGTCCATGTCCATGTCCACGTCCACGTCCATGTCCACGTCCACGTCCATGTCCACGTCCACCTCCATGTCCATGTCCATCTCCATGTCCATGTCCACGTCCACGTCCACGTCCACGTCCAAGTCGACGTCCACGTCCACGTCCAAGTCTACGACCACGTCCACGACCACGTCCACGTCCACGTCCATGTCCACGTCCATGTCCACGTCCAAGTCCTCCACAACCACGTCCAAGTCCACGTCCACGACCACGTCCATGTCCACGTCCAAGTCCTCCACGTCCATGTCCACGTCCATGTCCACGTCCACGTCCAGGTCCACGTCCATGTCCATGTCCACGTCCACGTCCTGGTCCATGTCCACGTCCACGTCCATGTCCTCGTCCACGTCCATGTCCACGTCCACGTCCATGTCCACGTCCATGTCCATGTCCATGTCCATGTCTACGTCCACGTACACGTCTACGTCCACGTCCATGTCCATGTCCACGTCCATGTCCATGTCCACGTCCACGTCCATGTCCACGTCCACGTCAATGTCCACGTCCACATCAACGTCCATGTCCACGTCGACGTCCACGTCCACGTCGACCTCCACGTCCACGTCCATGTCGACGTCCACGTCCAAGTCGGCGTCCATGCCACGTCCATGTCCTCGTCGGCGTCCATGTCTACGTCCACTTCCACATCTACGTCCACGTCCACGTCCACGTCCATGTCCATGTCCACGTCCACGTCCATGTCCACGTCCACGTCAATGTCCACGTCCACGTCCACGTCCATGTCCACGTCCACGTCCACGTCCACGTCGACCTCCACGTCCACGTCCATGTCCACGTCCACGTCCACGTCCACGTCGACGTCCACGTCCATGTCCACGTCCACGTCCATGTCCACATCCACGTCCACGTCCAAGTCCACGTCCACGTCCATCCACGTCCACGTCCACGTCCACGTCCACGTCCATGTCCATGTCCACGTCCACGTCCACGTCCATGTCCACGTCCACGTCCATGTCCATGTCCATGTCCATGTCCACGTCCACGTCCACGTCCACGTCCACGTCCACGTCCAAGTCCACGTCCACGTCCACGTCCACGTCCACGTCCATGTCCACGTCCATGTCCACGTCCAAGTCCTCCACGTCCACGTCCCCGTCCACGTCCACGACCACGTCCATGTCCACGTCCAAGTCCTCCACGTCCATTTCCACGTCCATGTCCACGTCCACGTCCACGTCCATGTCCATGTCCACGTCACGTCCATGTCCACGTCCACGTCCACGTCGGCGTCCATGTCCACGTCCATGTCCTCGTCGGTGTCCGTGTCCACGTCGACGTCCACGTCCACGTCCACGTCCACGTCCATGTCCACGTCCATGTCCACGTCCACGTCCACGTCCATGTCCACGTCCACGTCCACGTCCACGACCACGTCCACGTCCATATCCACGTCGACGTCCACGTCCACGTCCATATCCACGTCGACGTCCACGTCCACGTCCACGACCACGTCCACGTCCACGTCCACGTCCACGACCACGTCCACGTCCACGTCCACGTCCACGCCCACGTCCACGTCCATGTCCACGTCCACGTCCACGTCCACGTCCATGTCCAAGTCCACGTCCATGTCGACGTCCACGTCCATGTCCACGTCCACCTCCACGTCCACGTCCACCTCCACGTCCACGTCCATGTCCACGTCAATGTCCACGTCCACGTCCAGGTCCATGTCCACGTCCACGTCCACGTCCACGTCCACGTCCATGTCCATGTCCACGTCCAAGTCCTCCACGTCCACGTCCAAGTCCTTCACGTCCACATCCACGTCCACGTCCACGTCCACGTCTACATCCACGTCCATGTCTACATCCACGTCCACGTCCACGTCCACGTCCATGTCCAAGTCCACGTCCACGTCCACGTCCACGTCCATGTCCACGTCCACGTCCACGTCCACGTCCACGTCCATGTCCACGTCTACGTCCACGTCCACGTCCACGTCCACGTCCACGTCCACGTCCACGTCCATGTCGACGTCCACGTCCATGTCCACGTCCACGCCCACGTCTTCGTCCACGTCCACGTCCACGTCCATGTCCACGTCCACATCCACGTGCACATCCATGTCCACGTCCACGTCCACGTCCACGTCCACATCCACGTCCACATCCACGTCCACGTCCACGTCCACGTCCACGTCCATGTCCATGTCTACGTCCAAGTCCTCCACGTCCACGTCCACGTCCACGTCCATGTCCACGTCCACGTCCACGTCCACGTCCACGTCCATGTCCACGTCCACGTCCACGTCCACGTCCACATCCATGTTCACGTCCACGTCCACGTTCACGTCTACGTCCATGTCCACGTCCACGTCCATGTCCACGTCCATGTCCATGTCCACGTCCACGTCCACGTCCACGTCCAAGTCCTCCACGTCGACGTCCACGTCCACGACCATGTCCACGTCCACGTCCACGTCCACGTCCACGTCCACATCCACCTCCATGTCCACGTCCACGTCCACGTCCACGTCCATGTCCACGTCCACGTCCAAGTCCACGTCCACGTCCACGTCCAAGTCCACGTCCACGTCCACATCCACGTCCACGTCCACGTCCACGTCCACGTCTACGTCCACGTCCACGTCCACGTCCATATCCACGTCCACGTCCACGTCCATATCCACGTCCATGTCCACGTCCACGTCCACGTCCACGTCCACGTCCATATCCACGTCCACGTCCACGTCCTCGTCCACGTCCACGTCCACGTCTACGTCTACGTCCATGTCCACATCCACGTCCACGTCCACGTCCACGTCCATGTCCACGTCCATGTCCACGTCCACGTCCACGTCCATGTCCACGTCCACGTCCTCGTCCATATCCACATCCACGTCCACGTCCATGTCAACGTCCACGTCCACATCCATGTCCACGTCCACGTCCATGTCCACGTCAACGTCCACGTCCACGTCCACGTCCACGTCCACGAACATGTCCACGTCCACGTCCACGTCCACGTCCACGTCCACATCCACGTCCAAGTCCACGTTGTGAACGACCACGTCCAGGTCTACGACCACGTCCACGACCACAACCACGTCCACGTCCACGTCCACGTCCACGACCACGTCCACGTCCATGTCCACGTCCAAGTCCTCCATGTCTAAGACCACATCCACGTCCACGTCCACGTCGTGAACGACCACGTCCACGTCCACGATCACGTCCACGTCCACGTCCACGTCCACGCCCACGGTCCACATCCATGTCCACGTCCACGTCCACGTCCACGTCCATGTCCACGTCCACGTCCATGTCCACGTCCACGTCCACGTCCACGTCCACGTCCACGTCCACGTCCACGTCCACATCCATGTTCACGTCCACGTCCACGTCCACGTCCACGTCCATGTCCACGTCCACGTCCATGTCCACGTCCATGTCCACGTCCACGTCCACGTCCACGTCCAAGTCCTCCACGTCGACGTCGACGTCCACGACCATGTCCACGTCCACGTCCACGTCCACGTCCACGTCCACGTCCACGTCCACATCCATGTTCACGTCCACGTCCACGTCCACGTCCACGTCCATGTCCACGTCCACGTCCATGTCCACGTCCATGTCCCACGTCCACGTCCACGGTCCACGTCCAAGTCCTCCACGTCGACGTCGACGTCCACGACCATGTCCACGTCCACGTCCACGTCCACGTCCACGTCCACGTCCATATCCACATCCACGTCCACGTCCACGTCCACGTCCACGTCCGCGTCCAAGTCCACGTCCACGTCCACGTCCACATCGACGTCCACGTCCACGTCCACGTCCACATCCACGTCCACGTCCACGTCCACGTCCACGTCCACGTCCACGTCCACGTCCACGTCCATATCCACGTCCACGTCCACGTCCACGTCCACGTCCAGATCCACGTCCACGTCCACGTCCACGTCCACGTCCTCGTCCACGTCCACGTCCACGTCCACGTCCCACGTCCACGTCCTCGTCCATATCCACATCCACGTCCACGTCCATGTCAACGTCCACGTCCACATCCATGTCCACGTCCACGTCCATGTCCACGTCAACGTCCACGTCCACGTCCACGTCCACGTCCACGACCATGTCCACGTCCACGTCCACGTC